GGCACCTCGCCCCTCAGCACCAGCGCACGTCCCCTCTGCCAGGCGTCGGTTGTCAGGGCGGGAAGGGCCGACCGGTGACTCGTCATTTCTACAGCTTACTTGAGGGACGGTAGCCAGGGACGCCCACGCTTAAATACCTCCTTTTAATAGTAGTGAGCGATGTGCGAAAGCGCAGTGTGGCAGAGTCGAGGCTGGAGCAGCTGATGGTAGCTTGCAGTCAGATGCAGTCGTGGGGAGGGAGCGATCTGTGAAAAAATCCTGGGAACTTAACAGTGTATCTATGTATGTCTTGGCTACAGGGTAAATCCTTTATCTTTTTTGATTCAGTAGTAAAAACGTTTGTGTCGAACTGGTCCTATCTAGGCAGATTATACCACCTTCAGTATTTTAGTAACTTAATAGTCCTTGGTTTGTACAGTAACTTCAAAATACAGGTTTCTGACTTTTTCAGCTGCTTTACCGCATGGGTGGAGCTCTGCATGTTATTGCTTGAGCATTTATTTACCTTTAATAGATTCAAGCTAGTGGAGTGGAAATATGAGTAATCTCAACACCCTTCGAATTTGATAATTTTCTGTTCAGTGACTTTCTGTTTAGTAAGCTTAATGTTATGTGCCGTTCTGTGGAATATTTTTCTAGCAGATCACCCCACTCCCCCACAAACCCAGGATGCTAATGGCAGAATCGTTATTCCATTGCACATTTTAATTGTTACTGGATCTGATTACCTAGAGCAGAGCACACATCGTCTGAGAGTAGTCATGTAAAGATGTGAGAAAATTGCTCATGAGAAATTTACGTACTTCTAGTTTGGTGCCTCCATCTCTTACACTATTCAGCCCTCTTTGTTTACTGTAATTGTCCATTTTTTCATTGTTTTGATTCTTCATGCTGTAGTTACGTTAAATTAGAAGTTTCAGAAAATAAAATGTAAACCAGTGTGCTAAGTTCCCATTAAAAAAAAAACATTTAAGCATATGCTTATTTTAAGCATTTGAATAAAACTGCCTGTGAGTAAGGTATGCTTGTAATGTTTGCAAGGCTAAAGTAAGTACCTAAATTCATAAGTTACAATATATTAATTGACAAGACAGTTCAACAATATATGACCTTGTTCTGAAGTTCTCAATAAGAGTCCTCTTTTTTGTTGGGGTACTAGGAACTTTTGCTGGTAAGATGTACTTCTGACAGTTACCTTTTAGCTCCTTCCATTCCAACTGTCTTTGTTTTAGCCAGTAAAATAGTTGCCAGTGGTTTATTATTCCAGAATAATCCTTTGAGTGCCTCAGAAGAGGAAGAACAAGTGTGGTGTCTGTGCGTGTGTATGCATTGACATCGTAATCTAAATAGAGCACTCGATGACCTCCTTTCTGTGGACAGTCCAAATAATTTGAAGTGTGAAATCGCAATAGAAGGCAAGTTAGCTAGTGTCTCTGTGGAAAAGTTTATAGTTGTATTTTGTTAGGTGGGCGTTCATGACAGTAATTTCTGAGCATATCAGCTCATAGATGCTTGTATCTGTATTAGTAGACTTCTGGTCCCTTGGAAGTCAGTATTAAGTTATCCCATTTCAGTGATGGAGAACTAAGATGCAAAGACATTTCTTAAGGCCACCTATGGTGTATGGGGCTGATCTGAAAACTGACTCTAAATTTCCTTACTCTCCATATGTTCTTTAACCCCTCTTTTTATGAGAACACCGTTCAATTTATTTTGCTTTGTGCTTCATAGAACTAAAGGAAATACACGTCATTTGTATGGTAATCAAAGGTATTGTGGAAAAATTCTGTTACAAAGTAATGTAGGGGTTCTTGCTACATAGGATGAGGTGGTGTCACATGCTGGTCATATCTGGACTGAGGAAAGTCTCATCTGTTCCAAAAACTTGTGATCTCAAGTCTTGCTTTTCAAGAAATGCTGTATCCCAGGGAACAAGCACTTTGTTCAGTTTCTTAGTTACAACATTTCAACATGGCGTGGACTAAGTGCAGCTGCCTGCTATAGGTAGGCTTGCTTTTAAGACAGGTGGCTTTTTTTCCTACCTGCCCTA